TACATTTATAGCAGTTAATAGCAGTTCATCAGCCGTCTTCTTGCTTCCCAGTGTCTCTGGCTTTCCATCGTTGTCTTTAGGGCTGGACATCGAATCAGGTGGGTCTTCTCCATTTCCTCCTGTATGTTACATAGAGGGCATGCGGGTTGAGTGTATACTCCCAATCTGTGAAGATATTTTGCCAAGCAATCGTGTCCGGTACGTAGTCCAAACTCAGCAACGGCTTCGATTCTTGGCCAGTCGGCTATATCAGAGAGTGCCACTGTCCACTGTTTCTCCTTTCTTCAAGCTTTAAGTTCGTTGCACCTTGTGGTCTGGAATTCTCTTCTGATTAAGGCCGGTCCATGCATTGCAAAATTGTTGTCCCCTTCTTAGCAAGTGTGTCAGCAAGCTCATTGCCTTTAATGCCACAGTGACCAAATTAATGAGCCGTCAACAGAAAATCTTCTCTAAGACAGCTTAACTAATAGTCCCCGGGGGCATAATCATTTGGTGGGTAAAAATCTAGAAGTCATTGGACACAGCTTTAATAAAGAATTAACCACCGCCTGATCACTTGTGAGGTACCTAAGCCACGATAAAGGGGGGGGGGGTAGAATAATGGGAAATAGGCTAGACAATGCTAGAAATCACGAGATATGCCACAACCACGAAGTCAAACCAGAGAACTAAGCCTCTATAAAATAAGATAGTCAAAATTAGGAAATATGAAGACCATGCAGGTTATACCACCATAGGTACCAATGGAACTACAAATCTATATTTGGAACATCGGCGTCAAGCCGTAGAACATGATTCTATGCCCAAATTTAGCAAAATAGATCCGACGGCGGTTAGAATGAGAAAATGCAATGGTTGACTCTGACAGCATTGGAAGTTCAACCTCCGCAACACCATTCTCTTTTCTTTATAAAATATGCGTAATAGAAAATGAAATTGGGAATTACTAGAAAGAATGAAGCAATGCATCGAATATTACATAATGACATTTGGAAAAAAGCATAACTTACCTTTCTGACGCAAGAATCATTTTCGATAGCATCGGGTCACAAGGAAATTCCGCCATCCTACGACCAGTTTTAGTTAATTCACCTTTGTGGTTGAGCGCTCCCAACGCATAGAGTTGTTCCAGAGCCATCACCAAGGAGTCGTGGGGCGGAGGATCCATGTAATCGAAATGCAGAAGATCGTCAATACCAAGGGACTTCAGTAGCAAAACTACGTTGCCCAAGTTTGTGCGCTGGATCTCAGGAACTGGTTGTGCTTCTAACTCCGTGTGGTAGGCGTGGGATGTGTAGAGACGAAAGCATTTGCCAGCAGCAACACGGCCAGCTCTTCAACAATAAAGATAATCTTACTCAGTGTTCAAGCAACTTTCGGAGGTTGGTTTAGTAAATGCAAATAAAGGTACACCAAACTTAAATCGCAGAAAATTAATTCAATTACTTTATCAAGGCCATCTCCAAATTTGCAAGTAGGGCACGGGGATTCAGCGGAAATAGATCACTTGAGCATTTCTTAATCATCATTTGAAATTCTGTATTTGGTGTGATCACAATGATGTAAACGATCAGTGATAATGCCTAACAAGCCTGTGCGGTGTAACAATGGGAACGTTTTATTACTATTCTAAATTAAATATATGCAAACACAAAGTTAACACCTAGCCTAAGAGCGATCAGCTATTTAAAGTAGACAATAGAAATGCCCACCAACATCTAATCCAAGTTAGTAAAACGAGCATAACTTTAAACTTACATTCACCGTTTTTACTTGACCAACTCAGAGTTATAAGTAAAAGAGCAAAATAATCGATCCAAGTGTGTGTGTGTCATAAGCAATGAAGTGACGAATATCTCCCTAAGCCAGGGTTATGTAGCCATTAATCGTGAAATTAATTAAAGAAAAAAATGATAGAATGTCGACCTACCTCCCAGCACGTTGGTCAGCCGCAGCCCGGGAAATCGGTACCACGAGAAGTGACTCAATTCCCGAACGAGCAGAGTAGAAATTCTGCTTGCAGAAACCTGTATCAATCACATAGATAATTCCATCAATTGTCAGGGAAGTCTCTGCAATGTTGGTGGCGAGTACTACCTTTCGGGCACCTGGCGGTGTAGGAGCAAAGATCTTGGCCTATAGACAAAGACAATAGAGGACATTATATAATTATCCCTGATAGAGCTAATCGCTTTTAGCACAGTCGATGTGTAATGATTATTTTTGAGTTATTCTACTTCTGTTATGAAAATTCTCCAAGCAATATTGATTTTATCAAAATGAACCCCCCCATTTTCGAAACCAAACCTGTTCATTTCCTACCATTTATTTTACTTTGAGCGGGGTGTGCGATAGACTTACCTCCACGTGGTGCACCCTGGGCAACGTATACTCATACGGCAAAAAAGTCTATCAATGAGCAGTTGACTTCTCACTTCAAATAACCATCACCCCCACTGTATGTCATATTCGACCCCTACCACTACTCATCTTACCCTTTCTGAGCCTTTGTGTCTGTTTCCTTTACATCTTTGAAACACCCTTCTATTCCTCCTTCTGAATTCTTCTCACTTTGATGTTCCTCCTCCCCTCTGTGAAGCCCGAAGTTAACTAAAGGGCTAATGATAACTATCAAAACGCCTCCCATTT